CCGTGAACAAATGGACGAGACGCGAAACACTCGGCCTTTAGGGACCATCCGACTCAGGTCCACCAGCCGCTCCAGACCAAGATCTTCCTCCACACGACCCGGTCACAGGAGAGGGGCTGCCTCACGACTGCGGCGTTCCCGCCCCGCAGAGTCAGCCCCCGAGGTGCATCGACCAGGCCACTATCCAGACAAGAGCGGCCTCAAGGTACACCGTCACCGCCCAAGAAGCCGCGCCGAACTCCAACACCTAGCAGCACTCCAAGGAAGTCGGAAAACCCCCCTGGACATAAGACTTCACCTCCCCGCCGAGCTGACAGGACACCCGCACGACCCAGACAGAGATCCAAAGCCCAAGGACCTCCACCTATGCCGCGGACCCTCTACAAGCAATGGAGGACTGACCAGAGCAAACCACCGGAGGACGACAGCTACTCCTACTACACGGACTCGGAACCGGCTACTGCCAGGCCCTCTCAGGACGCTCGCGTCCGCGAGCCCCGGGCATCACCTGCCCCTGGCACCACGAGCAGCCCCCTGCAGGCGGGTGAGCTCATCACCCGACTCCTCCAGCCTTCCACGAGACACAAAAGCCCGCGCTCCTACTCTTCGGAATCCACTACCAGTCCTGCACAAGACTGTCGGCGCCCCAGTCCTATTTTCTTTCAGCAAGCCCGACATGTCTCTTGTGTCACGCTTGCATCAAGGAGAGAGAGCAAACGCTGGTCTCACCCTCGGCTGCATGGAAATTTTCCTACTAGGATACTGCCTCCGATGAACCGCAGAGAAAAATCCAAAGACAGACCGGAGTGTCGGCACCACCTGCCGCGATTCCCTCTTCCGGTGCAGCCTCCCGGATCCTACCACCTTGCAGGGCCTCCGTCGCTGCCACAGCCTGCGACTGCTACCTCTCGATCCACTAGCCTCCGCCTGAGTTTTGCCGAGTATTGCACCCACATGGTATGCTGTGCAAAACATGGTTCACAGACCGTAGTGGCGGCCCAAGACTGCCGGCGATCCCTTAGAAGCTTCCGCGAGGACTGGCCCGGCTCATGGCACCTCGGGACAAGGACCGCACACCGAGGAGGGGTGCAGCGGCGGGATCAGCTGCCTTGGCCAATCGAGCTCGAGGACGAGGCAAGAGCATGGCGAAGGCGAAGGCTACGGCAGCGCCAGAGGAGGATGCGCCGGAGAGCTCCAGTGAGGAAACTACGACCACTGAGGATAGGGAACTCCGAGCGAGGATGGCGCTCAGCAGCCCGGAGGATGAGCCAAGCATGCCTGCAACAGCCTCTGGCTCGGCTCACCGTGGCCCTCCGCCTCCAACCCCCGTCAACCTCCCCCGGGATAGATCGCTCACTCCTCTACCACGGCCAGCTGCAACAGTTGACCGCATCGCCTGCGGCTACTCTGGCGACTACCTCTCCTACTATGCCGCCGCCCTCGATGCCATTACCAGCGGCACCGGCTACGCTCCCTTCGACGACTGTCCTACCGAGCGGAGACACCATGCTACCCTCCTTGACTACAGCATCGAGGCCCAGGCGCACGGAGCAGTATAACGGACCGCCCCCACCTACCCCGGCTGGGACCCACTACAGAGGACCTGCTGGAAGCCACTCAGTCAGGAGGACCCGCTGCAGTGCCACCTGTACCGAGACCTCGACCTGTGCGAGCAGCCGGCTGGCTGCCTGGAGCAGCCGGCTGGACCATCACGATCCACATCCGACCCTGCGCCCCATACACTGGCACATAGGCAAGACAACAGGATCTGCCCTTCTTCCGGTAGTTCACTCGGATGCCGGCAGCAACCCGACGCTGCAGCATCAAAACAACCGAGCCTCTGCATGCAGATGCCTTGTGCGTAGTCAGGTACGACAGACGATGCCCATGCTGACTCAGGGGTTCGGTCAAGGGTTCGGCCATTCCTGTTGCTATTCCCAGGCCTGCGCTGCTGGTGACACACCATCCAGCCGGAACCTTACTGATGCAATGGCCCGACAGTCCTCCCTGGCCGCAGCGCTGGCACCACAGGCCAAAGCCTCTAGCCATGCCCGGTGCGCCAGTCACGTCTGGGGTACCTGCCCTTGCTCCTCCAGCGGTGGCGCGCATCGGCACCGACCTAAAGACCTGCGCGCAGGTACTCCTGGTCGGACTTCCTCTTTTTCAGGGGCAGCAGATCACAGCCCTGCACCAGACATGCAGCGACCTCGGCCTCCAACCTGCTCTGTGCAAAGCCAGCCACTGCAAGCACCAGCGTCTGTGCGAATCGCATCTCACCCATGCTGGCTTAAGTGCTCACAGCATTACATATTGCCACACACATGCATGTTGACATTGGTGACACGACGACAACAAAGCTTCTCTTCCCCGGCGAAGAGTGTCGACACAACTCTGCAGGACCTCCATCACACTGCCGTTGGTAACATAAGACTGTATAGGAGTCGTAGGCCCGGCTCCAGTGCCCCCAGCGCCCGGCACTGTGCAGCATGGCCCCGGTCATCCCGATCAACCCCAAATGGTTGCTGCGGACACACAGAGCTCGCCAAAGTGGACCACGTCGCCCACTCAGTGTCAAACAGCAGGCCAGCAAGCGGGAGCTCCAAAGGGCGCGATGGCAAAGGGCGCCACCTCCGGTCACGGTCTTCTCGCTGGTCATCGCCCGCTCTCTTAGGGCCGGGCACAGGGACCAGGGGCCGACACAGGATGGCAACGAGACCTCCCCGCAGGCGGACCCGGACCGAGCTGAAGACAACGGTGCCCCGGCTGCCCCAGAAGCCTTTGAAAAGAGCCTTAGATCCGAGCCTTCCTCCTCCTCTTCGAAGACCCTTGGCCCCCAGCACAAGCCGGCAACTAAGAGGATGCCGCGGCTCAAGCCGGCAACAAAGAGGATGCCTCGGCTCAAGCCAACACCCAAGAGGATGCCCCGGACTCCGACTACGCCGACTCCGATCCCAGTGGATGACACGAGCTCTGGCGACAGGCAGCCCAGGCAGGAGAACAATCAGCCGGCGCCTGCATCCAGAGACCGCAAAACAAAGATCCGACTACCACATGTCGAGTACGAGTCGGTCGACGACCTCCAGCAGTATGCAGGGCCCTGGGTTGAGGTCGAGGTTGAACCAGAGGAGTCGCCCTCCTGCGAGTCCGTCTGGACGATCACTGAGTCAGAATGCCTTGAATAGTCAACTCAGCCAGAGCTACAGGCTGGCCTCCGTGGAGCTGCGCCGAGCGGATCAGCTCCAGCTTGAGGAGAAAATCCCGTCAAGAGCCAGCACACATCCCCGATGCAGCCTTCTGTCTTGCTCTCGTCCCCCCTGCCATTTCTACATTGATTGCCATCTCCCCCCAGCTGCAGGCCCCTGTCCCGAGTCGCTGCAGTGGCCGGAGCCTCGATCGCCAGATGATTTCTCAATGCAGCTCCGCCTGTATAGCTGCCAACCAGATCTCACTGGCAGCGGGCCATCCGCTCTCTCAGCAGTGACGGCCTCAAGAGTTCAAAAGCCTTTCGGCATCTCCGGTCGTCCCTGCTTGCTCGGATCAGGTCAGCTCGATGTGAAGCACGACGTCTTGCGGGACACCGCCGTGCCAGGGCCACCTCCCTTCGGTGCGATTCGTCCATCTCCATCCCAGTGTGCCATGACCATTGGGTGGAGGGCTGGCCCCACAGCTTCCGTGCACAACCTGAAGAGGACTGCGCCATCTGTAAAGGTCGCCCCCGTCAGGAGTTCCACTCTGCAGCAACCCCACCAGCCTTCCACATCTGTGAAGGCTACAGGCTGGTATCGGACACAGCCCCGACATTCGCAAATTGGCCTCAGATCTCCTTATGCCACAGCGCGTGGAGAGCTCAACTGCGTGATGCCATGCCAGATGGCAGACCAGTGGCGGGGGACCCGGCAGAGTTTGTACCGTCACCGGCCTGCACCCTGTGCAGGCTGCACTATCACCAGTTTGCACCGGATCGTACCGACGAGGCGGCACACCCTCTCCCGGAGACTGACCAGGCATCTCTTACAGATCCTTCGAAACCTCAGGCACCCCCGCATCTGGATCTGGACCTACACAGCCTGGATTAACCTCTACACGATGGCCTTCATTATAAGACCCTTACTGCGACCAGCACGGCATGAAAGGACCTGCGAAAAGACCCAGAGCTTCCAAAAGACACTATTTAAGAAAACGCACCTTATTTAAGGAATTGTGCGGGAAATAATTGCTTAATTAAGGTCTTTTTCCTTATTTAAAGTGTTTTTCTACAAAAAGTTGCTTAAATAAGGGGTTTTGGTCCTTAAATAAGGTGTGTTTTCTTAAATAAGGTGTTTTTCCTTAAATAAGGTGTTTTTTTGACACCTTAAATAAGGTATGTTATTTTTTTATTCGTCATGTTATTGTATGCTTGTGTGGTGTATGCATGTGTCTGTGTGTGTGTGTGTGTGTGTGTGTGTGTGTGTGTGTGTGTGTGTGTGTGTGTGTGTGTGTGTGTGTGTGTGTGTGTGTGTGTGTGTGTGTGTGTGTGTGTGTGTGTGTGTGTGTGTGTGTGTGTGTGTGTGTGTGTGTGTGTGTGTGTGTGTGTGTGTGTGTGTGTGTGTGTGTGTGTGTGTGTGTGTGTGTGTGTGTGTGTGTGTGTGTGTGTGTGTGTGTGTGTGTGTGTGTGTGTGTGTGTGTGTGTGTGTGTGTGTGTGTGTGTGTGTGTGTGTGTGTGTGTGTGTGTGTGTGTGTGTGTGTGTGTGTGTGTGTGGTGTGTGTGTGTGTGTGTGTGTGTGTGTGTGTGTGTGTGTGGTGTGTGTGTGTGTGTGTGTGTGTGTGTGTGTGTGTGGTGTGTGTGTGTGTGTGTGTGTGTGTGTGTGTGTGTGTGTGTGTGTGTGTGTGTGTGTGTGTGTGTGTGTGTGTGTGTGTGTGTGTGTGTGTGTGTGTGTGTGTGTGTGTGCGTGTGTTTGTCAGTGTCTGTGTGTGTGTGCTTTGTGGCCGGTTGTTTTTCCGCATCCGTGCAAGTCTGCAGCTCAGGCCAGTGTTGGCAACCTCCTGTTGTTGACACAAAACTTGCTAAGCATTTGCTTGGAAGTGCCTTTCATCGAGTACTTTCCTCCACGACGTTTTGCGTGGAGGGACAACACATGGCCGAAGCCCTCGTCTCGATACGTCCACGTCTCGCTGGGCCGCCGCTTTTGGCGGCCCAGCTCGAGAAGCAGGTGCATCTTGGGCTTTGTCCTAAAATATGTTTGCCCTGGGAATTTACTCAACTCTACAAACAAAGCTGCAAACTTATTGACAGTCTTGTGAAACTTCTCGGCATCCCAATGCCTTTCGGACAAGAACTCATAGCAACTGTGCAGATGCTTCGCAGTCTGCCTCACCGTTCGCTCGAAATCTGAATTGCCCATGTGCCTTTCAGCGCATTCCTTGGCGAATCCGATGAGGTCGCGAGCCTCGCCGGCTTTAGCCCGCAACTTGGGCCACTTCTTGTTTTTGCCTTTCAGCATGAGCGGAGTCAACGTGCTCATGCGGGACTGGGACAGGTTTCGGCGATAATAATTTTGAATATCGCCAAAAAGGTTCTTGCAGCGATCGTGGACACTTCGCTCGGGGAGCTTTGTCTGCACGACCATATGAAAAAGCCCACCCATGTAGTCAGCTGCACATCCTAAATCCATGCAGTGAAGCCAATCAATGCAGCACTTCTGTACTGAAAAGCAAGGACAACTGAAAAGAGGGCTCAAGTTCTTGCCTTCAGAGATCTGCCTGGCCAGGAACTGGTAATGCGACAGGCGCGAGCTCCTGCAAGGGCATTGGCCGAATGGTCTAGAAACCAAGTTTAGAGAGTTGGGGGTAGGGAAACTGCTGGGGTAGAAAACCAATTATATGTTAAAAAAAAGGAGAGGCCTCCTCAACAGGAGGCCCCTCCTTATCCTAGAAACGGAAAAATCAATGAGGAGATGCCTCCTCGATAGGAGGCACCTCCTGGAGCAAAGTGTCCTCCAAGAGCTGCTCTCGTCAACATCATGTAGATCTTGCAAAGTCGCTTGACAAAACCAGCAGATTGGGCCGTTGCCAGTCCAGCCAGGTAGTCGCAACACTTCCTGGTATGCCGACCAATCCGCCCGCACTTCCGCCAAGACTGCCCGGCAGCCTAGCGGCTGCGAGGCTCTCCTCTTTCGCCAGCTGTCGTTGCCAAGGAAACGAGACTCGTCGTGACGGAAGGACGGGAAGAAGCCAGTATAACAGCATCTCATCGACCAAGCAATGATAGCCGTGACATCATCCCAGGTAGCTTCAGGCATCTGAAAGAATTTTGGAAACCCTGTCAGTGGAAAGCGAAAGTCGCCAGCATCTGTAAGCCCTGGCAAGCTGAGGGTTGCACACTGCAGTGTCTGGCTACGGTCTGAGCTAAACGGTACACCGTCTAGCCACAGCCCCAACAGCAGGACATCATTGCCGTGCTCTTGAAGTTGCTCTTGCAAGTTGGGAATCCGAGCTTGTTGATTTCTGATTTCCGAAACATCGTTAGACTCCAGGAGAACGTGTAGCACTTCGTGCGGAAGCATGAAGGCCAGGGTGTAGAGGTCCTCCTTGCCAGTCCTTGGATTCTTGCCCCGGACTTGGCACTCATATGGCGGCGGCCACGGTGTTCGGCGAAGATTGCGCCGAAGCAAGTTCCTGGCAGTGTTGCTTCCCTGCTTAGCCTGCGCCAGATCTTTGACCCCCTTGGCGCCTGCGAGCCCAGCATTTTCGCAGAGTCGACTGGCTCTGGCTCCACTGATGTTTCCAGAAAAAAACAAATCCATGCAATCATGTCTAAATCTATCTTCCTCTGCGATATGCTCGAAACTAGATGCCGGCCCTTTGCTCAGCATGTCTGCACAGGAGGCACATCCTTCGTAGGAGTGCCATCCTAGAATTCGAGCCCATGCGAAATGCACGGCAGCAGAGATTTGCAACTCCGAGCGAGCAGTTTTGACCTAGCGACTCAGCGAAACCAAAACATGGCATGCAAGCCAGTTTGCTATTTTCCACAAGCCGCCAAAACTGCAGCTTCCAGCTCTCAAGATCGGATGAGCATCCATCGCAAAAGATGGATTTGTGCAAGCTTAGACACCGAAGCGGCTCTTCAACTTCTTGTTGTAGGCCGTGGCTGCAGCCAGGTGGCTGGTGGCTTCCTCACTCAGCTGGGTGAGCTCCGGCAACTTCGCTTCCATGCATCCCTCGCTCATGTTCATCCACTCGCTGATCTTGAAGCGCAAAGTCTTCAAGAAGGCTCGGAGGGTCTCGATCTTGGGCCCAACTTCGTCCGCCTCCGCTTGGGGACCGTGAGCGACCAGCTTGGCGTGCTGCTCCTCGACGCCTCGAGCTCGTCCGCCACCTTCCCCAGCTTGCTCTTGGCGGCCTTGCAAGCACTGTAGGCCTTGTTCCAAGCCTCTTCGTTGGCGGGCACCTCCAGGTCCGGGTTACTGAACTTCTCGACGAGCCTGCCGAGGTCGCTTCCTTCCACGTTGGCGCAACTGCTCCAGCCCAGCGAGTTCGTGGCAGCTGTGTCCTCCGTTTCGACCTTCTGCTTGTAGTAGTACTTGGCCAGCAAGGGTTCTTGTGAGGCTTGCAGTCGGACTTGAAACCAAACTCTGCCTCACAGTCGGCGATCAAGTCCTTGAGCGTGTCAGCAGCCACAGCCTCGTCCATGTTGCTCGGGTCCAGGCCGTTCATCTTGAGGATCTGGCTCCTGGAGAAATCATTCGAGTAACATTACAAACCAATCTTACTTGAAATGCCAACTGAAAATAAAAAAAAACTGAGCATAAAAAAAGTCCCGTTGAAGTAGCCCTTCGTGGTGCTCTCCTTGTCCACGCTTTGCGTTTGGTATTCGCTTTGCATCTCGGCGAACCAGCTGAGGTCACGAAGCCCGCTCATTTGCAATTTCTGCAATATTTCTTTTTTTCCATGGACGCCAGACTGTTGGTACTTCAGCAAGATATCGTTCGCTTGTTCGCGATGCTTCTCCGTCACTTTCTTGGCCTTGCTTTGGTACTTGAGGCTTGTGAGCAAGCCTGCCACCTCTGCCTTGGCCATCCCCAAAGTTTCCTTCGGCTTCTGGGGCGACAAGGGCTCCGTCTTGACAGGTTCCCCTGCGGCCGACTTGGTTCGCCTTCTGCGGGGGGAGGTGGTCTCGTGGTTGCTCGGCGAGGCTGCTGCGGCCTTGGCCTTTGCCGTGGCCTTCGGTTGGGTCTTGGCCTTGGCGGTGGTCTTCGCCTTGTTCTTGGCGACGGCCTGAGCGACAGCGCTGCGACTGCGGAGGAGCCCCATCTTGCAGGGGACGGGTGCAGGAGGCGAGGAGGCCAGCACGTCAGGAGCCCAAAGCAGCTTCGTGAAAACACATTTTTTTTGCAAGAATCTAGGCGGACCCTCCTTCACAGGAGGATCCTCCTACAAGTGAACATCGGTTTGGGATGCACATGCAAGGCTGAGGTGGACTTCCTAGGAAAGCACTGCAACATGTGTCCGAAAATCTTCCAAGGACTAAGCTCGACCCTCAACTTGCCAATCGCCAAAAAGGAGGGCCCTCCTTTATAGGAGAGCCCTCCTGGGAACCTCTTCCTCGTCAGTACCACACGGCACCGCAGACGGTCGCATTTTTCCAAGCGCCACGGAAGAGCACGGTCGCCAAGCAACCTGGGATGGGATTTGTTGAGGTTGTTGGTTTAGGGGTTGCTTCTAGCTTTTTCCCAAGCCCGACCCCCAGCCAACCACTAACAGCCAGAAACACCAGCCCATCCAACCCACCCCCCCACCCCCCCCAACAACACAAAACAAAACTTCTAGCCCACCAAAACTTCCCCCCCCCCCCGACACACCCCGAACAGTTCAGCACGAAAGCCCCACGAAGAAACTGCACCCGGCAACACAAGGAAACACAAGCCCGACAACAGACCAAACCGAAACCTTTGCAGCCAAGGAGCTCAGATCATAGCCGCCACAGCCACAGCAGAACCTGAGGCAGCAGACACCCTGAGGGTTAAAATTTTTAACCCATGGGTTAAAATGTTTAACCCTTCCTTTATATATTTAAAAGCAAGCAGAGTTAAAAAACTCTGGGCTGCACTCTAGAAACCGATCCAGGGCCCGTGTCACCTAATACAAGTCCAACCCGACCCAATCAAAATACCCAAAACTAGAACCGCTGCACCCTTTTGGCCTATAGCGAGAGCCTCCTCGGTAGGAGACCCTCCCCAAGTCCACCCTGCTGCCGCCCAGCAACCATCACTTGTCCGCCGGGTCGCCGCCCTTCTCCCCCTTCTCCTTCTCCTGGTTGTCGCCCGCATGTGGCTCTCCTGCAGCAGAAGCTCCGAAAAAACAAACACACAGACACACACACACACACACACACACACACACACACACACACACACACACACACACACACAAACTGTCCTTGATCGTTTCCAGCTGCAGGGGCGACGGGCCTGGGTCGCTCAGGATGCAGACGGCTTCCACCGAACTTAAAGGAAAACCGAGACCCGTACGACAACACAATCCATGACCCCGTTGGCGAAGCTGGTGCCGCCGCCTGGCTCCGAGCCTCTGCTGCCTCTGCTTGGCGGCGACGTTTCTCCGGATCGACGGCCTTGGCTCAAAGCACGCACAAGCTGAAGCAAAACAGCAGAGTATTGCGGCCCAGCGGCAACAGGACCCTCTCGTGGACGTTTCTCCGCTTCCGTCTCACCCCACCATTTGCCCTTGGGGCAGCCAGCAGCCTTGGTCTTTACATAGGAGAGCCTCCTGTATAGGAGACCCTCCTTTAATCCCTTACACATAGACAGGAGCCCATGTACGATTTATACAGAGCTAGGACCCTACATTTCTACATGAAGGTTGCAATTCAGGGAGAGCCTCCTTCATAGGAGACCCTCCCTAGTGCCAAGCTGCATGCCATTGCTTGACCGATTCCTGCCATTGCTTCCGCTTAAGTCCCTTGTTCTTCTTGTTCTTCTTCTTGATGTTTTGCGAAACATTGGCACCGTGGATATCATCGAACTCCTTCGGGGTGTAGTCCGGCTTGCCTCCCTTCTGCTTGTAGGGGTTCCACGGCTCCGACCGGTTGGGGTTGTAGATATAGTAGTCGCCTTGCTCGTTTTCAGGGTTAAGGGCTCTGGCTTGGAGCTTCGGGCTCGAGGTGTTATGGGCCTTAGAAACTTAAAGGATTAGAGGATGCACCCAAACACTTCTGTAGACTGTAACCCCCCGCTACAAATAACTGCTAGCCAAGCTGCACTTTTTGTTGACACAGCCGTCTTTGCGGATGTACCCATACGATTTGCAGAACTGACAGTACCTCAGGTCATACTCCGGCTCATCATCCGGATCCTCGTCCGGCTCGTCGTCTTTCCATGGCTCCCCAGTACGACTTGTCGTCGCGACCTCCTCCTCCCCAGCCACCTGAGCCCCAACCGCCAGAGCCCCAACCGCCGCCGCCTGAGCCGCCGCCGCTGTAGTAGCTGGTGCCCGTCGTCGCCATTGCAACGGGCTGGCCGAGAGTGCAAAAGGACCAGGGTTCGAGCCAAAGCAAGCTGCATTAAATACATTTAGCGCACACATGGTTTCACAGCAGCAACATACAAAGCGCAAGTGCTTTGCAGGGCCCAGGAGAGCCTCCTCCATAGGAGGCCCTCCTTGCAAGACAACAAGATCTCGCATTCACTTCTAGCTGCAGCTTTTCACTACACTGCACACCAGAGCATGTGCCGGATACTATACTCAGAATGTCTCTAAAGACCGTGCCCCTAAACTGTTAAAGCCCACAAGTCACAACCCCCAACCCTGTCACAAACAAAGTTCAATAACCATATACCAGACATATACCAAAACAAAACATTGAACCTGGAGTGAAAAACAAACACCGCATATCCCAGCTAGGAGAGCCTCCTCCAAAGGAGGCCCTCCTTGACATCCTTCCACACGAAGACGTGCTTTAGGCACAGTCGAATATCGCAAGGCATCCTTTTCGCCGCTTCCAGGCTCCTTATAGGACAAAATCCGAGCCAACTGATCTAACCAGCTGCCCGGGGGGTGTCATCACTCGAAGCATAGTTTGCTCCTTCATGGTAGACAAACCAACGAATATCGCTATGCCAAAGCTCGTGCACGGCTTGGACTGTTTTGCGATCTCGAGGAACAAGAAAAGCCCAAATGAAGTCGGTCGCCCTTGCACAACTGAACTGGTGGATGCTGTCGCCGAAGATGGACCATTGGACGTCCAGCAGCCAGGCCGTGTGTACCTGAGCCACCTGAAACTGGTCTTGTAGATCAAGATATTCCCAAATCCTCCGGCCAGCCTGGACTCGGGCGAGCGATTGCAGCAAGTCTTCCATTGCTGAGTTCTGCAGATGTTGGGCCGAAAAGTCGCTGCGAATATTCCTTTCAATTCACATGCCAGGAAAACAAAAGACGAACACGGCGACGGAAGCTGCATGCGAAGCTTGCACACGAAATTGCAGGGGCCTTTCCTTTTGCATCTCGTTTGTTTAGATGGCAAGCATAGTGTGAAAATCATTTGCCTCGCTCACAGACATGATCAGTCAGACCTGTGCGAGGCGACTCTTACACCAATCTTCGGCATCAGCTTCTTCAAGCTCGCCGCTCTCAAGCTTCTGGACACATGCTTTTGCGATCCTGTCCATCTGCCAAACAGGGACGCCTTTTCGGCCGAACTGGAACAGCTGTGAGAAGGGAGCCTGCTTCTGCCGAATGGCCTTCTTGTGCCTGGGCGCCTTGTAATACATGATGGTGTATGTTCGCCGTCCCACACGCTCCTGCTGTTCAGCAGCTACGTTCTCCGGCTGCTCCTCCGCAACTGATGGCTGGGGCTCCATGCCACTGTCCTCGTTTTCTTCGAGGCTGGCAGAGCTAGCCGAAGCACTTGCCGCTGTCGGTGCTGCAGCCGGCCTCTTCTTTGCAGCCGGCCTCTTCTTGGCAGCCGGTTTTTTCATCACTCGAGCAGCCGGCCGCTTCATCCGCTGAATTCGCAGATTTGGGATCTCTGTGGACACTGCCTCCGCTGAGCCAGGGAACAAAGCTTTCTGGAATCCGTCTTCGCCTTCTTGCATCGTTGCCATCACCAAAGCCCCACTGGGATAAGCACGAACCATGCAGAGGCGAGCAGAGTCGAAGTACTCTTGGTATTCAGACGACCCGTCTCCGCCCGAAGTTTTGTCTTCCACTGGCAAAGCTGCCGTAGGAGGTGCCTCCTCAGTAGGAGACATGACCTCCTGCGAGCAAAACACTTCCTGCACGTGGGCAGGAGACAGCCCAGTCTCCTCCACCTCTGCACCTGGATCTGAAACTGGCGCCTCCAGGCCGTACTGTGTGAAGATCTGCTCCTTGCTGCTGCGAGTCGCAGGAGCCACCGAAGAGGGCCGAGGACTTGCAGCAGGTTTGGATGCAGAAGAACTGAAGCTGCTTCTGGAGACTTCTCGTGCCACACTGCCGCCCATGCCTTTCAAGAACATGACCACCTCACGAACGGCAGGTGGTAGCTTCTTCCCAGACGTGCAACTGCGCTTGCTGCGACAATGACATACCGCATTCACAAGCTTCTCGCACCAAGGCTTGCAAAGTTCTCTACTGGATTCCGGGAACAAGCTCATGCAGCCAGCAAGGAGTACCTTCACGGTGGGCCTGCTGGTTTCCTTCAAGACGTCCAGGATCAGAACCTTGTACTCAGCCACGACCTCATCCAGGCTTAAGTTCATATACTGGTCTGGTTTAGGGGCATCTGAAAAGCCATTCCCCTTCAATACTTTCTTGATGTCCTTTGCACTCGCTTCATTGCGGGCTCGGGCCATCTCTACAGGAGGCCGCTGCAGCCAAAACAAGACTGCAGGAGGAAGTTGCACATGCATGGCATAATCTGCTGGAATGCTGCACCTATCTCTTCCAAGCAAATCAATTGCTCCAGCTCGGACGGACAAAGAGACAGAGAGAGAGACACAGAAACTCCGGTGTCTGTGTGTGTCTGTGTTGTTTTTGTGTGTGTGTGTGTGTGTGTGGGTGTGTGTGTGTGTGTATGTGAAATTCTGTTTGTTGGTTTCTCTCGCTATGTATAAGTATGTGTATATAGTGTATATGACTGTGTTAAAAAAACACCTTAATTAAGGCATGAAAAAGAAACACCTTATTTAAGGAAAAACACCTTATTTGAAAAACAAAAAAACACCTTAAGCTTAAATAAGGTCTTTTGGAAGATCTGGGGACATTGATGCAAATGCCTTTCGCCAGCCATTGTGTCCTGCAGCTCCGCCCGCTTCTAAAGATGCTGACTCCCGGGCTCAAGCAGCCCCCCATTACCCTAAGCGATGCTCAACCCCAAGCAGAACAGACGGAACGATGCACACACACACACACACACTCTCAGCTCCCTATAAGACGAGCCGCCCCGGTCCCAAATCCGGGGACCGAACTCAGATGCGAACAAAAGGACGTACCCCAGCCTACCTCAAGGCCATCCTCCTAGGATCTCAGCTTCTGAGTTCGGCAGGTGCGAGGGTTGGGGAGACAGTCGCGAACTCCCCTGAAGTCGCTACCACTGCACTTCGAAGGCCGCATAGTGCGGCAAAGCCTCGCGCGCCACCTACCTCAGGCGATGCAGCATCGCCACTTGCAGCACCATCCTCTTCGGTCAAGAAACGCTCCTATGCGAGGTTCCTGAAGCGCCTTGCCACCACAGGAACCGCCCGATACAAAGGCCAGGTCTACCACTCAGACACTGTCAGACCGCCTGACTCTCACGCCCAAGCCCAGACTCCTACACAGCCAGAGGCTGCTACCTCCCCGAAAAGGTACCGAGCAATCTCCTGGAACGCTGGCGGCCTCAGCACCGCCAAACTCGACGAAGTATATGTCTGGCTGCACATGGAAGCCCTTCAAGGCAGACCGATCCACCTACTGTCCATCCAGGAGACCCACTGGACCTTCACCAGTGAGTGGCAGGCCCAGGGCTACTGGCACTTGCACAGCTCCCTGGACACTAAAACCCGCAGTGCAGGAATCCTTCACATGGTGCACCAGGACCTGGCCAACACCCACCAGGTGCGCACTGATCATGCTAGCCCTGGCAGACTGCTGTACACTAAATTAGCCACCGAGCCGCCCATCTCCATCATCAGCCTCTACCAGCACTGTTGGTCCACCAACTCCACCGCGACCCCCACCCAGGACAAGCTGCTCGAGTGCCGCGAAAAAGTCTGGAGCAAACTCTCCAATCTTATTGGACGGATTGCCCAACGCCATCAGCTATTAGTGCTCGGAGACTTTAACACACAGTGTGTGCCACCACTGGACGCACCCCGACTGGCACGCACGGCAGACCTGCTAGATAAAACGGTCCCACCGCAGAAGGACTACGGTAGACTCCAAAGCCTTCTCAGAGACCATCAGCTCCTCGCTGTCACTACCTTTGGCCGACAAGCCAACGCAGCCACCTACATTGCAGGAACAGGGCCTACCGCAACCCGTACCCGCATTGACTTCATACTATGCAGGGAAGCCCAATCTGACCGATGCACGCGCCGAGCCGGCGCCCTGAGGAGAGCCCCGTTCGTCCCTCAACAAGGCAACCGCCACCGCCCCCTAGACACCACTATGCCTTGGCCAAGCCACCACCTGCTCCCCAAAACTCGGCAATCCCCATGCAAACGCTGGAATGCAGCATCCACACAGGCCGCCTTAATCGCGGACCCTTCACTCGGCCCCAAACTTGCACACTCTGTGGCCTTTCAGCTGCAGCTTCAGCCAACACCCCCCGGGGACGATCCATGCCGGCACATCAATCTTCTCCTGTAAAAGACTTGGGACAATCTCACAGCCTCGGCAGGCCTTCACAGGACTACTCAGCCAAAGCCGAGCACCGATGAACCAGACACCGCTGTTACCGTCAGAGAGCTCTGGCACTTAAAGCGACTCAAACAAGCGCAGCCCACGAATACCTTTACACAAAAAGCCCAAGCCCTGCACCTTACGCAGCAAATTCGGACGACCCAAAACATTCTCCACAAAAGAGGTCGCCTTCGCAAACAAGAGCGCCTTGACAACATCCTCAGTGAAGCGGAACGCAGCACTGCACCAGGAGCCCTCTACAAAGCCACCAGACTTCTGGCTCCAAAGACCAGACACTCCCGCATCCAGCTGCGCGATACGGCAGGAATGCTGATGTCCCCGCAAGAGGAACTCAAGGCCATTCGCCAACACTTCGAAGGCCTCTACCAAACTGCCACAGGCCGACCTACACCACCACAGCCCACCATAGACCTCCATTTCACCGATGCGGAAGTGAGCAGTGCCCTCGCCCGTCTCCCAGTCCGGAAAGCCCTCCCCCCGGATTACATGCCTGCCCGACTCTGGCAGGCCACCGGCCGGACATAGCGGAGGGATTGAAACATTGCCTCCAGCCGCCGAACTACCGCCTATGCTAAGGTGACCATGGCTCGTCTCCCGAAACAACTGCGCCCCATCTGCCTCCTCCCACCTGGTAGTAAGATATTGGCAATGATGCTGGCAGACCGTATTCGAGACAGAGCCGAAACATACATCCGCCAAGCGCCACAATTCGCATACGTCAGCAACCGCAGCACCACCGACGCGATTAGCCGCGTATGCAGCCACCTGCATGAGGCGCGAACCCTGGCTGCTGCTGCTGTTCCCAAAAGACACCTGCGCCACTCAGGCGCAACACCCTGCCAAATCGCTGGGGGTCTCTCGCTAAGCCTGGACGTAGACCAGCTTGTGACATCAATGCAGGCAGCCGGCCTGACGTCCGAGGAGGTAGCGCTTGCACTTCACATACACGACCAGGCCAAGCTCACCTTTGGCCTTGGCAGGGCACAAGGACGAAGTCGAGCTCTCACAGGGGATACGCCAAGGTTGCGGTCTCTCACCCCTCTTGTGGTCCATGGCCACCACAAAGCTCTACCTAAGGTTCAAAGAGACCATCACTCACAAGAAGGAGCTTCTGGGAGAGCCCACCCTCTATGCAGATGACATCTGGCCCTCCTGGACCATACGGACGCAGGAACAATTCCGGTCAAGCCTGCGTGCGGCGGGCATACTGATCCAGCTCCTCCATGAAGCAGGCCTCAGAGCGTCGCCCACAAAAACTGTCTTTTTAATCAACCTCCAAGGTACCGCGGCCAGAAGCACTCTCCGCCCCAGACTCACCAAGCTGGAAACAGGCGAGTCCGCAATAAAGCTCCGTGTCGGTCAAAACATTATGCCTATCAAGATTGTTGATGCCCATACCTACCTCGGAGCCAGAGTCGCTTACCAGAACCACGAAGCTCTCAACCTGCAGCACCGACTGCAACTTGGCTGGCAGGCT